ATGCTGGGAGGCTGAAATTTTGGGTATATGTTCCTACGCCGGGTGTTATCCTCCTCCCGTTTTAAAATTTTCGCTCATACGCGCCTAGACCTTGCATACGAGCTCCCGAAAAAATATGCAGATTTTCTTGGCTGGAAACAACTTCGCGAGCCAGGCAAAAGTTGAAAGTCTGTAGCGATATTCTCTGTGCATGTGCGAGATTACGAATTCAACTGCCGCGCACGGTTCTGCAGTGCGTATGAAAACGTTAAAGCTTGAACTCGGCACTTCCTAACTCGAAAACTAGCCGGAAAACACTGGCTGAAATTTTATCAGCATGTTTGTCGCCCGTATGGGGAATCGTATACCTCAACTGAGTTCCGGTTTTCGCTTGCATCACGACTTAGGGCACTTCAAAGGCATTTATAGCGAAGTGGCTATTTCGTTTACCGGATAAGGTGCGAGGATGAAATTTCGCTGGGATATTCTACCTTCATATTTGATTTTAATTCTGTTTAGAGGTGAAATTCCCTGCAGATGGTTATGAGAAATACTCAACTTTACCGCAAACTCAGAACGAGTATATTTTGCACTGAATGACTTCCTTCATCTTCTACTAACATCCATTTCATTTACATATTTGAATTTTTTGACGAACGGCCGCTCCAGAAACATTTCCATTTCTCAGTGCAAAACTGAAATTTTTGCATTTTCAAAAATTCGCATTTTTCATTTTTATGCGTTTTCGCATATATGCAAATGCGAAAACGCATATTGCGACGACTCCGGCGTGTGTGTGTGTGCCTTCTGTCTGTCTGTCTGTCCTAGTATTTCCACTCGGCACCCAAGCAAGCTCCGGCACCAAAATTTTGCCAGTGGGTTCCCCGACCGTGTACACTCCAGGACCGCGGTGCCGGCCCTCACGCACGTCTAGACTCCGCGTACGAGCCCTCAAAGTTTTGGTGGGAAAATCGCTAACTCGGAAGCCAGAAAAGCTAGAAGGCTGAAAATTTGCTGTTATGTTCTCCTTCCACATAGAATACAAAGATTTCAATTTCAGTCTCCAGACATGCGTCTTTCTCATGTACGGCTTCGTGAAGATTCCTGGCGGGAAAATCGCTAATTAGGAATCCAAGAAAGTTA